GCAGAATATTATGAATTTTTGCAGATTTTTCAACCCAACAGTCTAGTTTTTAGAGGGGGGGATGCCCTGCTCGAACAAAAATTGGCACTTTAAACTTTAATAGTTTGCAATCGGATCCCTAAATCGAAAAATAGTCTTTGAAACCCCCAAGTAGAAGATGAAAAAAATTTCATCCCCACTCTACATGTAGGGGAGCTACCCTAAAAAAATGTTTTTTCAAAATTTTATTCTACCGTTTTGTCGGCGTGATTAATATACAAACCTCCACAAAATTACAGCTCTTTAGTGCCAATAGTTTCCAAGCAAAACCTCAGACAGACAGACATATCGAAACTATAAGGGTTCCTTGTCAAGACTACGGGACCCTAAAAAATTATATTTTCTATGATGATAATGACATTTTATTCTATACCGTCTAAACAAATAAAACTAAATATGCTGCCGTCTACATGTGTTCAAAATAAATGACGAAGTTAAGAAAATTATAAAACAAGCTTTTTTATCAAAATCAATTTTGCTAGATTATGTAGAAAGGAACAATAATTAAACTAGGTACTTCTGTAAAAAAACAATGAGACCCTAGTACTAACCGCAGTCACTACACGTGTTTTTCTGGATCTATTCGTAATCAGTGGGCTTAGTGCGACTTTATATCGATCGTCATTCGCTAGCGACTGCGTAAAAAAGACATGCATTAAATAAATGTATGAAGATTGTACAGCGTCCCTAACAGATACTTTCAAGAACTAAAATCTTAAACTTTATAGATCTTTTTGATGCACTCGTTAGCGACAACGGTAAATGCAAACTCGCACTAAGCACACAAAAAAAAAACTTTCTCAGTTAAATTACTCCAAAACTATTAAATTTCGGATTTTTTTTAAATATCACGTGAGATTAGTGGGTGGGGGAGGGGGTCAGGNTCATTCGCTAGCGACTGCGTAAAAAAGACATGCATTAAATAAATGTATGAAGATTGTACAGCGTCCCTAACAGATACTTTCAAGAACTAAAATCTTAAACTTTATAGATCTTTTTGATGCACTCGTTAGCGACAACGGTAAATGCAAACTCGCACTAAGCACACAAAAAAAAAACTTTCTCAGTTAAATTACTCCAAAACTATTAAATTTCGGATTTTTTTTAAATATCACGTGAGATTAGTGGGTGGGGGAGGGGGTCAGGCAAAATCTCACCAAATCTCACCAAGGGGGGCGGGGGGGTTGAAAAATAGCCAAAATTGTCTCACGTAATTTATGGACGCCCCCTTATCCGCCTCTACAACCAACGTAAATGCCTCACGACCGCTCTGCCAAGAGCGAAACGAATTTAAAGAAAATTTTATCACACAAAAAAACTCATAAATATCTTCAAGTAATAACAATTCATTCTGAATCAAATCACAATCGATCATCACCTCTAAAAAACTTATTACCTCCCCTAAATAATCCATTTGGCAGAATCAAAACCCCGTGGGATATTACATTGGCAACACTGAGACCCATTACTTAAATACTCTGCAAATAAGGGACAAAAAATGGCAACATGAGAACTGGAAAGGTGTGAATATAAAGGGGTGATATGAATGTAAAGTACGACTCATCTGCTAAATAGCTTGATTATAATGACAAAGAATGGGGTGAAAGAAAGTTGTAAAAAATTGTCTGTGGTAATGTGATGCCAAGGTTTCTCCTACCTGCCCGACTTCCGAAATTACAGACAACAGCTTTTGACTTTTTTTCGCGTCGAACGATTGTAAACGTCTATAAAGTCTGTCTAATTAAGCTAATGAGAAGAAGTAGGTACCTAGGTACATCTTGATTCCTAAACTGCCTTTTGACTGAAAAAATACGAGCTCTACGAGTAAATGTACCTTCAGTAACCTACATCATATCTTAAAAAAAAACAGAACTATAAATTTACATTAATGTGCTGCATTTTGAATGGATTTTAGTATCTTATTTTGTTATTTTTCAGTGCCAGTCGTAGAAATCCTTGGTAGAGATATTTGTGAAGATATTTCTTTCAGCTGAAAAGTACCTACCGAAAAAAGATACAGTCAGCGTCAAATAATTCGTGACACGCAAAGTGACCAAAAAGTTGAAAACAACGATAACGTTTTTGTATGGAGTTGGCAGATTTTTGACGTTTGTCAAAGTTAAGGTAAGATGGTGCAACCCAGCCTAAACCACGACACTAACTATGGGAATTACACAAACACGTTAGAGATAGTGTGAAGCCTCCCTACCAAGATATTTTTGCTTCGCCGAGTTCAGTGTATCAGTCCGATAACATAGATAGTATCGATAAACGATATAACGAAAGATAACCTACATATTCTTTGCATATTTACTTTTCATGTAAAATGTTTTGAAATCTTTCATTTTTTTGTCGTTAAAAAACGCCGGGCTAGCAAAATGCTACGATAAAATTAATTAAAAAAATGTTATTGCTTGACTCGTGTCAAATAAATATTTTTTATTGGTAAAAACGTGGTGAAAAAAAATCATTCATTAGAACATACCTACGACGCCTAAATGAAAAACTAAACACTAAAAATGTGTTTTAAATGGGCTAATAATTATCTTCTTTTTATTAGATGAAAAATAATAAGTTGCAGTCAAAATTTATATTCTATTTTTTCAGAGCATCAACAATTTTATTGACATCTTGCGTAAAAATTTTCAAAAATACAACACATTTTCAAAATTATTCAGCGTAGCCCGAGGGACTATAATTTGTGCAATTATTTTTAAGTCTATTTTTTAAGGAAAAAATGCGTAACTAGTTTTGAAAGTTTGCTCACCAGATATTTTTAAGCCACATCAAACAAGCATTTCTTCGAATTGTTTTCCATAGATAAGGTATTATGTAAGTATGTCTACAGCTGTGTAGTCTGTAACATTGGATTCTAGAGAATATTTACGAAAAAAATATTATCACAAGTGTTAATAAGATAGTGTTATCACACACTTGTAAAGGTGAGCTGTAAGTTAATGATGAATGAATGTCTTGTTTTATGATAGTGTGTACTTCCACTTCTAAAAATAACAACATAGTCTAGGTACAGTACTATGTTTCATAATTAAAACAAAAACCGAAATTTATATTAAAATTAACTCAAAAGATAAATAGATAGATATTATTATGTAATAAACGAAAAAGAAAAAACATACAAAATACGGCACCATTTAGGCGGTCATAGAAGATTTATCGGTAAGGGAAAGAGATGAAAACAGAGAGCTAGCTCTATTTTTTTTTATTTATGAGTGTTCGTGAATTCTTCGAAAGAAAGAGGGAAGTAGGAAATCCTGAATTTTTCGGTCTTACTGGACAACTTACAGAGTTCAATTCACATTCGAGAATGTAGGTACATTATCAAGATAAGCTCAATGATAGTAACTTTATTAAATTATGTATTTTAGAACAAACTACCTAGTAGAGTCTGACATGTTTTCCTTTTAATAAATACAATTTTAATCTGACGTCATCATCATCATCCAACTATTGATGTCATCTTCTGTCCTGCAGGAAAAATGCATGACGTCATTTTTACATTCCTAAATTTAACACCTAAACCATTGTACCTATTCTTTGCAAATTTACAAATACTTTGACTTGAAAAAAAAAGTTCAGAAAGATAAAAAAAATAAGTACATTTTTTGTAATTCACATTTAAATTACAATTACATAGTTAGGTAAGTACTTATATTTTTTTAACCTTTAGTTAAGTACTTTTGTATTTTTATTTTTCCTTTTTATTTTGTACATGACTTATTATTTGTATAAAATAATAGGTTGTTATATTGGATTACATAAAGATTATAATTTCATTGAATGTCACGGTCAAACTATTATATCGGACAAGTTTGTACGTAACTCATTTGCAAATATGATTATGATCATGCAAAAGATTATCATAATACTTCGTTAAAGTAATACCAAGATTATTACATTATAAAAGAATACATTGTTATAATGCGAATTGTAGATTTTTTGCTTGTTTAGACTTTTATGACTCTATTAAGATTTTTTACAGTGTAATTACATTTTACGGAATCATACTTATTATTATTAATTTAAGTAATTCGAGATTATAATAATGTTTCAATGGTTTATATTATCAGAATAGATAATTAAGGCGATACATAGGTATTTTTTATACGTTGGAGAGACACAATTTTGCGATTTTATCACTAGGAAGCGATATCTTCCAGATTTCTCTGAGAGAGAGCATGGAAAGGACAGTCAATTGAAATAAAAAAAAAACATTCCACTACATTTACATTGAGAATCTTAAAAAAGACTCTACATTTAGGAAAATAATAAATGAAGCGTAATAAAATGTAACTACCTACATATTTTTCTGAAAATTTTCCTACCTCTATCCACCTAGTCATTGGATGTTTTCTCGAATTACAATAGAAAATACGTCGTCTCTACGTTTCAGGGTCAAAAGTACATTCACACATTCAAGGTTAAAATATGCACATATTTTTAACAATTCGTACAAAACTAATTTTCAGTTTTTAAGATAGTTATTGTCGGCATTTTTATTTTCTCGGTAAGTTTTGACTAAAAAGTTGGTAACTTTATGTCTGGCCGGAAAGAATTTATGTAAATTTCCACCGAAAAGGTGACACGCGCATTTAATTAACAACATAGCGGTAACTGCAAGTTACAAATATTATCCACACGTTTTCGCGCGGTAAATTCACCCAAGCCAACGCTGACACTAAATGGGTACTCCAAAGTTATTTTCGCTAAACATAAAATATCTCAGACACAAAACGCATAAAACGATACTTGAGCCATAAATATAAATAACCATCCACAAAATGCACAGATATAAAAAACACTGCACAACACTAAAACTTTTTGAATTAAAATTTTCTATTTTTTAATCACTAAAAAATTACGTCAAAACAAAAACACTGGCTGAAAAACGGAACGCATTCGGATTTTCATTTAAAAAAGTAAGTTTCGAATTTAGAACGTACCGAGCGATCGGCGCGCAGCTGTCTCTACGCGTTCGCAAACTGAACTGAGGGAAGCGGATTCGAGCGTTATTTTCCGATTCGGTTTTCAAACGTGCACGCACACAACGTAATCTCGCTGTCAGGAGAGCGTATAATACGCGGTGCGGTGGTGTGCGTTTCCCGAAATAGTGCTGAAAGCTGTCGATAAAATTCAACCTCTGGCGATGAAGTTGCTTTATCGTTAAAAGACAAGCAGTTACTAGACGTAGAGCAAGGTATGGTTTGATGAAAACAGCAATGGAAATAATTATTCACCGACAAAATTTTATGATATTGCTCATTTTAAAGTTATTGTGGCCTAATTTCTTAATTATCAGGTAAATAGATACTTAGTTGAATTCGAGAAGTAATTAAATGGAAACTTAACATTACACATAAATATTATACGGTTTTTCGAATTATGTAATTAAAATTATGAGGATTCTATTTCCAAACAAGATTTAAAAAGAAAAATGAAATAATTAAATTAACAATGTTAGTTTTATTTAACCATGTTATTTTAACCATGATTGATCATCATCATCATCATCTCAGCCAGCAACCATGATTATCCATGATTAACTTTTCTTTACTCAAAAAGTCGCGAATCCTGAAAAATACATAAGTACTAACTACATTTATTTGTAATCTCACTGTAAAGTATAAATTATTCACCAATTTATTCATCTTCAATCAACTTTTAATTCTGAATGAAGCTTAATTTGAAAAGGTGAAACCAAATCCAAATTGTATGATAAAGTTATCACTATTATTCATAACTTTCTTAATATTTGATTAAATCATCGATATCGATATCAATTAAAACATCGGACAACTCCCAACACTTTTAAGATCCCACTTTACGCACACACGCGCAACATTCCACGAGAGCTTTAAGCTCCGTCGAGATCTGCATTCGATTTTAAGTCTTATGCTCGTGTCATAAGTTGTATTTTCAAACAATAATGTGACAAATATCTTCAACTTTTGTTCTCAATAGCGCGTAATGTATGCAATTTAAGTATTTTCACCTATTTCTTTTGAAAGTATCTTTCAAAAGGATTGCTCAGTGCATTTTCTTCTGCAATTACTATTGGCACAAATCTTTTGTCTACCCAAAAATATCTTAAATAATATTCAAAATAGAGTAATTTATTGTAAAAACTGCTCTTAAAATCCTGGTAACTATTCACCACACAGAGTCACAAGACCAGTCTACAGGCGTCTAAAGGACGGAGCACACTTATCAACCCGGAAAAGGATCGTAACCGTATCAATTCGAGGCGGTCAGTATTCTTTGTATGAAACTCTATATAACTCCATACTGCAACGCACACTTATCCGCACTGTAACGTAAACGCCTCGTCTCGCGGTTGACAGCGCGCGAAAGACGATGACAGCTCGCGAAAGACGATGACAGCTCGCGAAAGATGATGACAGCTCGCGAAAGGCGATACGGTGTTGATCCCTTTTCGAGCAGGTTGATAAGTATGCTATGACCTTAAATGTCTCAATAGGACTGACACCTTTTTGTACAGTCAAGTTGAATCAAGTACATTTTTTAGCATTTCTTCAAAATCTCATTGCCTCAGGTGGGAATTGAATTCGCGAACTCTCGCTTGCTATAAAATTTCTGAAAAATTAAGCAAAGTATAAAAACTCCTTCAACTATGTTATTTAACTTAGGTAGGTATAAGGTATGGAAAAAACCCTTGTGAGTCTAGGTACGTACCACTGATGTCATTTTCTTCAAATGGTCACACCACAATCATAGCCTATTATAAAAATGTAGGTAGGTCATTTCTTAATTAAACTCTAATGTAAGCCTGTGGTTTTGCAGTGTATTTATAATACGAGGAGTACATCATAAATCACTGATTCATTCTGAACATTCATCCCCTTTACAATTTCATCACTTTTATGATTTACTTTCGCGGGTAAAAATAGTCTGTGTCATTTTCCAATGTCCAATCTAATTACTTTATGCCTAAATCCATCAATCGCGAAATGGGTTCAATGTTTAGGCGTATAAAAGACATGATACTACTTTTTAATATTAAAAACATAACCGTATTTTTTGTAATATTTGCACATCGTATGTACGATAGAATATGTTGGAAACTTCTCTTTTTAAAACCATTTGTAACCGTATTCTGGCAAATAAATGATTTATTATTATTATTTATTATTCATAAAATTGCAGCATTGTCACGTTGGATGGCCAGACTTATCCGTTGACCAAAATACCTAATTGCCAGCCTTTTGATCTTCAGTCACCTCAGTTCTTAGACTACCTGATAAGTTTCATTCATAATTATCCTGACAGTAGGTACCTACTATCTGATACCTGCTGAAAATCGTATCCTAGCATGTTCTTAGAGTGGTTTTAAAAGACATAAATAGTGAGATTTACAGTAATGAATAATTAGAGCCAGATAGATAGGTTTATTTATGCATTATTTATTTCTATTTATTATGTCATTCATAAGACTGTATTTTTCTTTGAATCCCTTTTTAGGGTTCCGTACCTCAAAAGGAAAAAACGGAACCCTTATAGGATCACTTTGTTGTCCGTCCGTCCGTCTGTCAAGACCCTTTTTCTCAGGAACGCGTGGAGGTATGAAGCTGAAATTTATATCAATTACTCAGGTCTACTGTCCCTTAAAGCTGTGAAAAAATCAAACTTCTAAGCCAGCGCAATCAAAAGATACAGCAGTTTATGCCGCAAATTTTCGACACTTGCAAGGGAATCAAAACCTACAGGGTGCTTCCCGTGAACTCAGAATCTTGAAATTTGGTACGAAGCAACGTCTTATAGCATAGATAAAGGAAAAATTACGAAAACCATAAATTTTTAGTTACATCACATAATATATATTTTTTTAATAATTTTAAACTTACTACCCATTTCCTCATAAACGCGTAGAGGTATTAAATTGAAATTCATACCAAATAGTCAGGTCTATAATACCTTTAAGCTGTAACAAAATCAAACTTCTATGTCAACGCAATCAAAAGAAACAGCAATTTAAGCTGCATATTTTGAAACTCGCAAGTACTCGCAAGGGAATCAAAACCTAAAGGGTACTTCCAGTCGACCTAGAATCTTGAAATTTGGCATGAAGCAACGTTTTATAGCACACATAAAGGAAAAATTCCGAAAACCTTAAATTTTTAGTTACATTACAAAATATATATTTTTTAATAAATATAAACTTATTACTTTTTTCCTCATGAACGCGTAGAGCTATCAAGTTGAAATTCATATCAAATACTATCAGGTCTATAATACCTTTAAGCTGTAACAAAATCAAACTTCTATGTCAACGCAATCAAAAGAAACAGCAATTTAAGCTGCATATTTTGAAACTCGCAAGTACTCGCAAGGGAATCAAAACCTAAAGGGTACTTCCAGTCGACCTAGAATCTTGAAATTTGGCATGAAGCAACGTTTTATAGCACACATAAAGTAAAAATTCCGAAAACCTTTAATTTTTAGTTACATTACAAAATATATATTTTTTAATAAATATAAACTTATTACTTTTTTCCTCATGAACGCGTAGAGCTATCAAGTTGAAATTCATATCAAATACTTAGATCTAATTGCCTTTAACCCGTGAAAAAAAAAACATAGTTATGACTCGATTGTCGTAATGAACGAACTTTGTAAACCTTGCAGGTTTGTACGGAACCCTCGGTGCGCGAGTCCGACTCGCACTTGGCCGGTTTTTTATAATAATATAGCTTTGTGCGGTTTGTACATTTAACCAGTGTCTAATAATATTTCAATGAAGTCATTATTAGAATCATCTTTTTAAGAATATCTCGTGTACATGTCATGTGGACGTATGCAATTGAGTACAGTTAGGGTCGAATTTACACATGGTTTTTCAGAAGTTACTATTTTCGTAGATAAATACATAGGTGTAATTCGTACTGTGATTAGGTAATTTTATGTTAAGGTGATACTTACCTCAAGGACTTAGTTATGAACTCGTAACACAAGCATAATTAAGTAAGGTACTTGATACAAATAAGGCCTACCTAACTTTAAATGCTTATATTTCAATAAATATTAACGCCAATCAACAAAATCAAGGTTAATTAACTTCTTCCATCCTTTAATTTTAGCAATATTACAAAAAATAACATAATTTTTAACTAAATCTATTCAAAATAAGCAAATTACGAAACCACTGATTTTGGCTTTATTAAATCACCTACACGAAATAAGGCCTATGTGATTTAAATGCCTCTAGACCGTAAAATTGTGATTGTATTAAACAAAATGCGGTCTCATAACATTAAACACGTCGATTTGTTTGCTTTATCAAAATTTTACATACCAAGTAAACAGAAATATACTGTACATCTCTAGATAAACTTAAATTCCACTTATTAAGAATTATACATAAATTATAGATAAAATTAAATATTCATAGTAACAAAGTAATGATTCCTTACATATATTATCAAAGAAAATATCAAAAACAAACAATATTTTTTTTTTGTATAGGGCTTATTAAAACACCGTGTTCGAATAAGGCCTACACATAAAACCTTTCAAATAAATCAGTTTAGGAACATCATTTAGTCTTGAATTTTTGTAAACAAAATGAGATCTAATTTTTTGTTAAAAAGGCTTCTGAATCATCTTTACGAACTCCTACACAATCTTTGTGATACCACCTAAAGCAGTCCTTTATGGTCGCATATCTGCTACTTGGTCTTCGAGACAGGCATGATAATACCAAATTTTATTCTCCTTTCCTTTAGATTTATACATACGGCTTTTTTTTCTTATTTTTTATTGGTTTTATATTTTGTTTGTTTTTTTACAGGTATTGTTATGTTTTTTGACACTGTTTTCTTTTTCTTTTCTGTGTTGTTAGTAACATTCTTATTAAATAAATATTTTGTTACTCTTTGACTCATTTAGTTTAATGAATTTGTCCGTAATCAGGTGTTGACATAAGTATCTAATATGGCCTACCATGCTGAAATAAGGCCTAGGCCTTATTAGACATCTCGCTCTTGTTGTCTTTAAAAAAGTACAAACAAT